AAAAATATTTCAAATAGAATTAAGGGAACAGTAGAAATGACAATATGGTGATGATCAGAACATAATCTCTAGCTGAGTAATAGGAAACATGTGTCAGAGAAGTTATTGGCTTATTGTTATTAATTAAAACAATAATTAACATTGGCCACTTACCATGTGCCTGGCAGTATGCCAAGTGTTTTATGTGAATATAATCAACGTGATATTGCAATATGCCCAGCATATAGCAAACAGGAGGAGTTTAATAGATATTTGTTGAGTAAATCTGTGAGATAGGAATTACTTTTATCAATTTTACAAATGATTAAAATTAGGTTTAGAATTTTAAGCTTTGCCTAAGGTCACATAACTAATAAGTAACAAGTGAACCTAGCTGGTAAACTGAAATTTGATTGTAGCATAACATAGTGTAGTGGTTCAGAGTGGGAACCACAGAGCTAGTTTTGAATCCTACCTCTGCCACTTACTAACTGTGTGACTTTGGGGAAGTTACTTAGCCTTTCTGTGCCTCAGTTCCTTCATCTGTAAATTAGAAGTAATAATCCCAATCTCCCAAGGTTATTGGGAGGATTAAATGAGATCACACATGTAAAGCACTTAGAACTGTGGCTGGCACCCTCTAAATATAGCTATTACTGTTTAGTAGAGCCTTATATTACATACCAATAGAGTTTTCTACTTTTCAAAAGAAATTTGTATACATTATCTCATAATGTCCTTATAAGGTGGACAATAATCATTACAATTAAGATAATAGAATCTCATGCAGTATAATCAATAAAAATATTGAATCACTATGTTGTACACCTGAAACTAATATTCTAAATCAACTATACTTCAATTTAAAAAATAATATTATCTCACTTAATCCTCATAATAATCCATTTTGTAGATTACAAGAATCAGGCTCAGAAAGGTTAAATGGATTGCTAAAGATCATACAGCAAGTAGTTAGGCCCTGTTGAGAAAAGGTAGAATGAAAGATTAAAGATAACACAGTGTCAACTCTTAAAATAAGAAGGGAGTAGAGGGAAGACAGGGAGGAAAACAACTAGCTCATTCAAGGCATAATGAAGCCATGTACTAAAAGGGGTGCAGGGCTTCCCTGGTGGCGCAGTGGTTGAGAGTCCGCCTGCCGATGCAGGGGACACGGGTTCGTGCCCCGGTTCGGGAGGATCCCACATGCCGCGGAGCGGCTGGGCCCGTGAGCCATGGTCGCTGAGCCTGCGCGTCTGGAGCCTGTGCTGCGCAACGGGAGAGGCCACAACAGTGAGAGGCCCGCGTACTGCAAAAAAATAAATTAATAATAAAAATAAAAATGAAAGGGGTGCAGGTTACGTGCTGAGGAAAGCCAAAGGAAGAATTGATTAATTCTGTCTGGAGGTGGTATGTTTGCCTAGAATCCATCCGAGTGGCACCAAAGCAGGTCAGACACTGTTTCATGGCAATGAAACATATTGAGTCTGCTTGAAGTCAGAAAAGTTTGAGGGTCTGGGAGTAGCAGAGAAACATGGAAAGAAGTTTCCCAAAGAAAACTTTGAAAAATGCCTAAGCATTCATGACCACTCCCACACATCTTTTGGGCGTGGGAGGGAAACAGTGACCTTCATTTCAAAGGACAAATGAAGTATTCAGTACCGAGGATAATGTGAACAATGTGAGGAGTGAGTTATACATGGCCCGAGGCATGTAGAAATTATGTGAAAATAAGTAACTATATAGTCAACAGATTGTTTCATACACCTGGGTGTGAATCTTGGGAAAACCTAGAACCACAGTTGAGAACACTTCAAACTCAAATTTTACAGCCTTAGGGCTTATCTGGTTCTGGACTCCCTCTAGTGGTTCAACCTTTGGTGCTTTAATTGGTACTCTTCAGTTCGTAGAATCATCAAATTTTGGGTCATATTAAAAACAAGCAAAAGGACCACACAACTCCTGAGTGGTTTCCCACAAGAAGAAAACTATGTGATTGAATGGTATGATAATGTGGCTATTAAGGTAGTTGAAATAATAGTGTTTCAAATGGTCTGACCTAAAGGGACACAGTGGATTTCACTGGCTGACTAGAAAAGCCAGTTATAGTTCTGCTGAGAATGTGTGAATAATAGCTGGAGGTCCAGGAACAGGATTTCTGTTTGCTTTTGTTTGCAACCTAAGGTGAGAATTCAACCTTTTAGGGATAGAGAGAAGTGACTATTTTCTGGGTATATGGGTCCTACAAGGTCAGAGAGTTCTAGCTTGACCTTGTATAAAGTCAACCTTTCAGACCAACCCAAAGCAACATGTGGTTCCCTTCATATCATATCCCTAATATTACAGCCTATACATCTGTTTTAAACCAAATTCAGAAAATTCTAAGAGTGATTTAACTTTATTTGCTTCCCTATATTGGCTTTGGTTATGCCCCTTGGCTATGTCTCCTACTTCTTGCACATGACCACATGAGGAGGCAGACTCTTGTGTTCACTCCATTAAACTTTCACTTCCTAGCCAGTTCTGCATTATAGATTACATAAATCTGCCAACTCTTTAATATGACAGCCCTTTGCATATTTAGGACAGTTATCATGTCCTGTCTTCTTTCCCTTTTTTGGATCCCCAAAGCTTCTTGGTACCAGAATAAAAGAACCTCTGTGAGGTAGAGGTATCATAATTGAATAACTTAATGGGCATTTTGTTCACATCTTCAGAGGTAAAAACATTGGCTTTTAAAAAAATTTATTGAACTACAGTTGATTTACAATGTTGTGTTAGTTTCAGGTGTACAGCAAAGTGAATCAGTTGTGCATACACACATATCCATTCTTTTTTCGATTCTTTTCCCATATAGGTTATTACAGAATATTGAGTAGGGTTCCCTGTGCTGTGCAGTAGGTCCTTATTAGATATCTCTTTTATATATAGTAGTGTGTATATGCTAATCACAATCTCCTAATTTATTCCCCCCCCCCCCGCTTTCACCTTTGGTAACCATAAGTTTGTTTTCTCCAACTGGGACTCTATTTCTGTTTTGTAAATAAGTTCATTTGTACCCTTTTTTTAGATTCCACGTAAAAGAGATATCATATGATATTTATCTTTCTCTCTCTGATTTAGTATGATAATCTCTAGGTCCATCCGTGTTGCTGCAAAAAAAAAAAACATTGGCTTTTTATTTCAGAAAATACAAAGCTGTTCTTGAAAAGTCTGAGTTTAGAGTCATTGTTCTCCAAAGAGAATAGAAAGCAATACGATTAAGAGAAAGAAGCAAACAGGATGTAATGGGTGATTTACCCATTTCAGGACCTCCTCCTAGTATGCTATTTTCTAGTTCCTTTTACATTGTTCCAGCACAGTAGTTGGAAACATACAGCAGAGATCTGATAAGTGACTGTGGACTCCAGAAGTTAGTCATAGTGTCTTCCCTGAGGTTTGGATAGAGTGAGGCCAGGAATGGGCACTAGTCATAAGATCCCAGATCTGACAGTACTTTCCATTGAGAAGAGATCACTATAGAGTCTGCAGCTGATTATTTGCATAAGTAGGAAGAAAAAGCGCTCAAACCCCAGTGACTTAAGCATTCCGTCTGCAATCTCAATTTTGTAATCACATAAATTTGGTTTTCAGTGAAAGTGGGAAAAACAGAGGTAGAAAGATGTGAGTAGGATAAAAAACAAGGCATATTATCTTGACTTTGAATATCTGTAGCTCTCTTTTTTTTTTTTTTTTTTGCGGTACGCTGGCCTCTCTCTGTTGTGGCCTCTCCCGTTGCGGAGCACAGGCTCCGGACGCGCAGGCTCAGCAGCCATGGCTCACGGGCCCAGCCGCTTCGCGGCATGTGGGATCTTCCCGGACCGGGCAGGCGGACTCTCAACCACTGGGCCACCAGGGAAGCCCTATAGCTCTTTTTGATGAGTAGAATTTAAAAGGATAGGAGGAAAGAGTAATTCCCGGTGGGAAAGGGAGAGGAGAGGTGGAAAGCGAATATTAGGTGGAGGTCTTAATAATATAGACAGGCATTGCCTCTAATACAGGACTTAGTACTGTTGTGCCCCAGATAGACAATAAGGACTTAATCACATGAACAGAAGAGGTTATGATTAAGTTGTTGTCAAAGAACATTCAAAGGAGAAGTCAGGAATATGAACAGAATGTACTGGTGTGCCACAACTACGTCAGATGGCCTGGTTTTCCTTCTTTCCCTTCTTCAAGGGATTTAAAATGCTACACTGTGATTCTCTTTTGCTCGGCTGATTCTTTTGTATACGAAGGACATGCATGGACTTTACAAACAGGTTGGAACCCAGGTTATCGAAGGTGCCAAGGCTGTATTTCTCATCCACTCCAAGTCACCTAAGACATTAGCACCAGAGCACTCCAAAATACTGTGCCCCTGGGCTTCCCTGGTGGCGCAGTGGTTGGGAGTCCGCCTGCCGATGCAGGGGACGCGGGTTCGTGCCCCAGTCCGGGAAGATCCCACATGCCGCGGAGCGGCTGCGCCCGTGGGCCGTGGCCGCTGAGCCTGCGCGTCCGGAGCCTGTGCTCTGCAGCGGGAGAGGCCGCAACGGTGAGAGGCCCGCGTACCGCAAAAAAAAAAAAAAAAGGGAAAATACTGGGCCCCTGAGGACTGTCGAGGTTTTTTCACAAAGTAGCAAAATCTCTAGGCTCCAAAAGCGCAGATGGTGATGCTCGAGTCCGGGAGCCAGGGAAAGAGAGTGCTATGTGGCGACTCCCCAAACCACCAAGGTACATGCTTAATGACCTAGTAAAGGTAGCTTACGCTGCCTCCCAGACAGCCATGACTAAGGCCTTGTTCGTAAAGCTATGGAAAGGACGACTGGAGTTCATCAAACCCAGCACCACAGCAAACTAGCCCCGAGAGTCCGAGCGTTTAACTTCGTCTAACTTTCCGATTGGTCCTTTCTGCCTCCTGTAAGGGAACGGCAACTGATCCCTGGCGCATGCGCATCACGTGCTTCCGGCAGAGGAGCTCTGTGTACCAGTCTTTCTGGCCCGGGTGGAATTCTTACCCCACTTTCCTGGGCCTTGCGTCTTCCGTGAGTAATGGCTCCGGACTCAGGTCCCTTTCCAGAAGGGCCGCTCTTAAAGCTGCTACCCGTAGACGCTAGGGACCGGGGCACCCAGCGCTGTCGCCTGGGCCCGGCGGCCCTCCGCGCCTTAGGCGCGCACCTGGGCTCAGCGGTGGAGATCTCGCTGCCTGACGGCGGCTCCTGCCTCTGCACCGCCTGGCCGCGGCGGGATGGAGCGGACGGCTTTGTGCAACTGGATCCGCAGTGCGCGAGCCCGGGGGCGGCAGTGGGGGCGCCGGGGTCCCGGGGGAGTCTGAACCTGAGCCGACTCCGGTTAGTGCCCTGCCCGCCCCTTCGGCTCCTCGCCGTGTGGCCGGTGTTGCGGGAGCTGGCGGGCGTGTCTGGTGCCCCAAATCCAGCCGCGGTGCTGGAGGCGGCGCAGGAGCTGCTGAGGAACCGTCCGGTCTCTCTGGGCCACGTGGTGGCCGCTCCTCCGGGCGCTCCCGGCCCGGTGGCCGCCCTGCACATCGTCAGCGGGGCACCCAACCCGAATCCGGCCGGGCTGGTCACCCCTCGCACCCACATCAGTCTGAGCGGGCTACCTCCGTCGGAAGAGGAGCCGCAGCCCGAGGTGCCCCTGGGGGGCCTTTCCGAGGCGGCCGACTCGCTGCGGGAGCTCCTCGACTTGCCGCTCAGCTACCCCCGCGCCTTGGCCTCGCTGGGGCTAGAAGTGCCACGCGGGGTGCTCCTGGCTGGCCCCCCCGGAGTCGGCAAGACCCAGCTAGTGCGGGCCGTGGCCCGAAAGGCGGGCGCGGAGCTGCTGGCCGTGAGTGCCCCCACGCTGCAGGGCTCCCGGCCCGGGGAGACCGAGGAGAACGTGCGGCGGGTCTTCCAGCGCGCGCAGGAGCTGGCCAGCCGCAGGCCCACCCTTCTCTTCCTGGACGAGGTGGACGCCCTGTGTCCCCGGCGGGGCGGCCCACACCAAGCCCCCGAGAGCCGCGTGGTGGCCCAGGTGTTGACGCTGCTAGACGGCATCAGTGGGGGCCGGGAGGTGGTGGTTGTGGGAGCCACCAACCGGCCGGACGCACTAGACCCAGCGCTGCGTAGACCTGGGAGATTTGACCGAGAGGTAAATAGGCTTAGCCAGCTAGCTCATTGCCTCCTGGAACCCCGGCCTCTTCTGGCCCTGGTTGGCTGCCCCGAGGCGTTTGCCACTTAGGTTTGGAAGTCAGTGAAGCTGGAGAGGGGCTCTGTAAAGCAGAGAACCCATTCTCTGGTCCACAAATGATCTGCGAGCCAGGACCCTTTCCCCCTCCAGAGTCAAATTGTTCTGAGAAGCAAGGGGGCCGTTAGGGATGAGTTGTGCAGGTCCTGAGAATGAGGAGTACTATAATCAGTAGTTTAGTTTTTAAGGGAACTGGGACTGCTACAAGCATGTTAAACTCTTACGAATCTGGAAGGAGAATTTAAAGTAGGATAGCCTCAAGAAACAAATGTATTGAAATAAGGGGGAAGGCAGGGAAGGACTAAATCAGAGCAGACATTTAACTCTTCTAGATTTATTCATTCCTTGTTCGAACGCCAGCCTCCTATCCCACAATTGCTCCCTGAGTTGCCAGGAAGGTTGAATATTCAAAGCTGTCCTATTTTATAAACTTCAGTCCTAAATTGATTCTTGATTTCTACTAAATAGTTTGAATAGTGATTATTTAAATGATGTTTGAACTTTGTGGTAAGTTTCTAAAGAGACAGGTGATAATTGCCCACTTTAGCATAATCTGTTTAGAACTTGAGTGGATTTCTTCCTCACACCATGTAGTACCTGTCCTGAATAAGCTCCATAAGAGCAGGGACATAGACTATCTAGTTTACTGGCTCCTAGAACGTGGTAGGTTCTCAAAAATAACAAAAACTTATTAAACGACATATGTAATTTTAACTGTGCAACTTTCTAGCCAGTGTTACTCCTCTGGAAGATAAAGATTTTCATGTATTCAGAATCTAAGGTATGCTTAAGAGTACCCAGTAATAGTTCCAAATTTGTTCGCTAAATTATTATACATGTTTGTGAGGATTAAAAAAATAATATTTTAAGCTGTAAACTTTTTCTTTCCTTGCTTTGCACATAGATTGTCATTGGAACTCCCACACTTAGACAAAGAAAGGCGATTCTACAAGTGATTACCTCAAAGATGCCCATCTCCAGTCAAGTCGATTTGAGCCTCCTTGCAGAAATGACGGTTGGCTATGTTGGTGCAGACCTGACTGCACTCTGTAGGGAGGCTGCCATGCACGCTCTGCTTCATAGTGAGAAGGTAAGAAGGATTGATTTATGACCTTCTATGTGAACCCTTTTATTAACATAACAAGTTAATTTGGAGATTTAAAAAAGTGGTAAGTACATTTTCTTCAAACTTTTGATACCTTCGACAGCTGTTTCTTACATTTTTTTTTTTTTTAAATAAATTTATTTATTTATTTATTTTTGGCTGCGTTGGGTCTTTGTTGCTGCGCGCGAGCTTTCTCTAGTTGCGGTGAGCGGGGCTACTCTTCGTTGCGGTGCGCGGAGTTCTCACTGTGGTGGCTTCTCTTGTTTCAGAGCGTGGGCTCCAGGCGTGCAGGCTTCAGTAGTTGTGGAGCATGGGCTCAGTAGTTGTGGCTCACAGGCTCAGTAGTTGTGGCATGCAGACTCAGTAGTTGTGGCACACGGGCTTAGTTGCTCCGCAGCATGTGGGATCTTCCCAGACCAGGGCTCGAACCCGTGTCCCCTGCATTGGCAGGCACATTCTTAACCACTGCACCACCGGGGAAGTCCTCTTACATATAGTTTTACAACTGAACTCCATAGAAATAGTACATGACTGAAAGTAGGGACGGAGAGCTGAGTTCTTCAGGTTTGCCCAGAGTGTTTTCCCCCACTCCCATAGTAACTCTTTAGTGCTGAAGCCCAGAGCAGTCAGGAAAAAGACAGTGTAACCCCAGAAGAAGTAAACCTATATCTTTTTAATTTTTGTTTTATTTTGAATCTATTTCAGACTTAGAGAAAAGTTGCAAAAATAGTACAAAGAATTTTTGTATATCCTTCACACAGATTCGTCAAATGTAACATTTTATCACTTTTGCTTTATCATACTCTCTTCATGTGTATGAATGTTTATGTGTGTGTGTGTGTGTGTATATATATATATATATATATATACTCATACTCTCAAATGCAGCCATGATGCCCCTTTAGCACTGAAAATTTAAGTGTATATTTCCTAAAAACAAGGACTTTAAAACCACAGTACAATTATCAAGATGAGGAAATTAACACTGACATGATACTTCTACCTAATCTATATAGACCTTAACCAAATCTCACCATTTGTCCCACTAATTTCCTTTGTAGCAAAAATTTTAAAAGGAAAAAAATATTTTTTAATCCAGGATTACACCTTGCATTTAGCTGTCATGGCTGCTTAATCTTTAATCTAGAAACATTCTTCAGTCTTTCTTTTACAACTTTAATTTTTTAAAAATACAGTTCAGTTATTCTATAGAATATTCCTAAGTTTGGGTTTGACTGATGTTTTCTCATGATTTGATTCAGGTTTTGCATTTTTGGCAGAAATATCACAGAAATAATACTGTGTTCTTCTCATTGCATCTGTTAGGTAGCAAATGATATATCTTTGTCCTATTACTGGTGAAATTAACTTTGATTTCTTGGATAAGGTGGTATCTCTGAGATTTCTCCATTTTCAAGATACTATTTTTTCCCTTTGTTGTTAATAAGCATCTTGAAGGGAAAATAAGCTTTTCTAACTCAGGAGACGATTAGGTGCTTAGGATTTTATTTAAATTCATCTTTGACATTCAAATCCTTAATTCATGACTGCTTTTCTTAAAAATGTTAGGATATTATCTTAAATATAGTAGTTTTCAACACTATAGATTGGAAAATCTGTTCACTTTTATGTAATGTCAACCTGAATCCCTAAACCCCTTCTGAAAAAAATTATTTTCAGCATGCTGAGGATTCTCTTGTAACCTTAAAATTGTTCTTTGACCTTATAATTTTTTAAAACCTAATTCGAGTTTGTTTAAGCTATAAAAGGATGATTTATCATCCTAAATTTTGAAAACCTTTTTACCTAGGTCATTTATATCCTTCCTCATTTTCTTTTCCTTTATTTTTACTCTTACACCAAAGGTGGGGAAGGAGTTATGTGAACTTGTAAGTCCTCATCTTTTCAGTTTAGAACCAAAGCTGCTTGAAGATTTAATGACAAGTCCCACGTGTGAAGATTTGAGGATATATGCCTCTTGAGGGGAAGACAAGAACACCACGGTGTGGGAAAGGAGGTTTACATTTAGAATTCCCTCTGCTTTGAAGTTCCAGGTTTGACCTTAAGCACGTTGGCTTAGGTGGACCATCCAGCTGCAGCCGTCCTAGGGTGGAGCCCACTGCTACTTCAGGAGGGGCCTGCCCAGGCATAGTTACCACAGGTGATGGCTCAGTTCATAAACAGCCAGGGGAAGTGGAAGAAAGAAAGGCAAAAAGGATGAAGGGGCAGAGGCTTCTGGGAAGGTACTGGCTCCATCTTTTTCTTCTTTCCCTCCCCAGGCAGCTGAGGGGCTGCTGCTGCCTCTATCTGTGCCAGGGCAGACAAGGGCACATCACAGTTTGTTCATCTTTTTGTCAAGTATGCCTTTTAAAGGGTTAGAAAGACAGTTTAACACACACACATATACACATAGAGGGGAAAGGATTTTTATCTGCCTGAAAGGATTATGAAAATCAAATGAATAGTGTATACACAAGTAATCTGCAAGTGTAAATGGGATTTTCAAATGTCAGTTGGTGTTACCTAAAAATTAATTAGTATTCAGTTACCCAATATCTAATACTGCTAACTAGTTAAAAAAAAAAAGCACTATTTCAAAAAACTATTTAATAACATTATTTGTGAGAAATTAAACAAGATAAAAATTATAAAGAAAGTAAAAATTGTCTGAAATCTCACCTCCCAGAGATTATAATTATTGACATTTTTTAGGAAAACTGTTCAGAAAAGCTCCACATATACATATTCACTTATTTAATCTTTCATAAGTGGGATAAAATAGTTTGTTATTGAAAATGGGAATTTCGGGATAACTGAATGTTCAGAATTTGATGTACGAGGACAAATACTTAAATATAATACAGATATTACAAATAGAAATATAAGTTTTTAATAGCCAGAAAGGAAATGATTTACTGATTTGGCCATTTTAGAATGGCAAAACAATACTATTAAAAAAAAAAAGAAAGATGACAAGTTCAAAATCAAAACAAACAAACAAACAATACTATAAGCAAAGGCAAGACATGAGACAGACTGGGAAAAATACTTGCAGCCCATGACAAAAGCCCAATTTCCTTGGTGCAGAAAGAACTCTCACAAAGCAATAAGAAAAGACCAACTATCCAAGAGAAAATGGGTAGCAAGATATGAACTGGTAGTTGACAGTAAAAGGATTACAAATGGCTTATACACATGAAAAATCCTCAACTTCCTTTAAAAATTAATCTTTTGGTTCTTTTTCTTTTTTAAAAACTTATTATTTTGAAATAATTAAAACTTCAGGGAGAGTTCTGAGATAGAGAACTCCTGCTAAATCCTTTATCCAAATTCACCAGTTTTTAACATTTTGCCAAATTAGCTTTATCATTCTCTCTTTTCTCTTCTTCTCTCTGTACAGCTGACCTTTGAACAACACAGGTTTGAACTGCACCAGTCCACTTGATATGTGGATATTTTTCAATAGTAAATACTATAAGTACTGCACGGTCTGGGGTTGGTTGAATCCACACAGACGTGGGGAACGGCAGATATGGGGGGCCACCTCTACTTAAACGAGGATTAACTCCCATGTTGTTCAAGGGTCAACTGCCTAGGTATACACATTGTTTTTTTCTGAATCATTTGAGAAGGGGTTGCATGCATCTTAACCCATTATCCCTTAATATTTTAATGTCCATTTCCTATGAAAAAGTATGTATAATCTCATTATATTCAGGAAATTTAACATTGATCAAAATGTTGTCAGATTTATAGTTCCTATTCTGATTTTGCTAACTGTATCCATTTTTGTAGCATTCTTTTCCTCCAGTACAGGATCTAGTCCAGGATAATGTATTGTGTTTAGTTTTTTGTTTCTTTTTATCTTGAACGCTTCCTTAGCACTTTTTTGGTGTGTGTGCGACATTTGACATTGACGTTTTTCAAGGATGCAGGTCAGTGATTTTATAGAACTTCTGTCAGTTTGGGTTTGTCTGTTTCTTCATAGTCAGATTCAGGTTATGCATTCCCATTGGGGATACTACATAAGTGATAGTGTGTCCTTCTTATGATGTCACATGTGAAGGCACAATACGTCCACCTGCCCCTCATTGGTGATGTCCCTAATGGTGACTGATGTGATCAATCAGTCAAGGTTTTGTCCAGTTTATTTACTGTATAGCTGCTATTTTTCCCTTTGCAACTAATAAGAAATCTGTGAGGAAATGCTCTGAGACAATGCAGACATACTGTTCCTCATCAAACTTTCCCTCCCCTAGATTAGCATCCATTGATTCTTGCCCTAAACAGCCTTTACTGTGATGGTTGCAAAATTGATTTTCTAATTCCATTATTTTCCTCTACCTCACTCTTGATTAAAGAAATTTAATTAACACAATAGTGAGCACCATTTCCTCTCTCACACTGGCCGAAATTTAAGGTTTGGTAATGTCCATTGTTGGAGAGGTGTGGGGAGAACAGCTTCATATATTGGTGCAGCTTTGAGGACAGTTTAGTAGTAGCTGTGAAAATTGTAAGTGTACATACTCTTAAGCACAATAATTCTACTTTAAGGAAATTATTATATAAAATACTTGAGCATGTGCACAAGGACTTTCAGTTGCTGCTTTGTTTTTAATAACAAAAGACTGGAAACAACCTACGTTCAACAGAAGGATGTCGTTAAAATACTCATACAATATGCAGTTGTCAAAAAGAATGAGGTAGAGCTGTATTAGTTGACGTGAAAAGATTTCTAAGATAAATGAAAAAGTACAAATTAATATGTATGGTATGGTCACATTTGTGTATCTTTTTGAAAGCATATACGTATGTCATAAAACACTGGAAGAATACACAGGAAACTGTTGACATTCTCTGGGGATGAATATTGGTGGAGTTGAGGGGGAGACATTTAATTTTTTTATACCATGTGTTACAAATTTCTTTATAGTGATAACAAAATAGATGTATAAATTCAAAAGAGGATTTACAATTAAAAAGTAATTGTGTTTGTGTACCACAAAAAAGGCCCACCTGATTTTTGGTTTGATTTTGCTTTTTGGGGTGGATTTCTTCAGAACCAGGACAATCCAATGATTGATGAAACAGACTTCCTTGAAGCTTTTAAAAAGATCCAGCCCTCATCATTTCGAAGTGTCATTGGAATGATGGACATCAAGCCTGTTGGCTGGGAGCAGATTGGTGGCCTTGAAGATGTAAAACTGAAGTTAAAACAGGTGAGATAGAGAATCTGCTTAAGCCAGTAGAATATAACAGTCTAAGTGTAATGCTTTATGGTGAAAACAAGCTGCACTGAAACTTCTTGCCGTCATCACTAATGCGATCCTAACATCTAGATCTAATGGTCGATTTTCAATCCTTATTTAACCGGACTCTATAGGCATCAAATATTATTTTTCATACTTTCCTGCCTCACCCTCTTTTTGTTTGCTTTTTGCTCTAAAGAGTTTATAATTTAGACCGGGGTTAGTAAACTCTTTTCTGTAGAGGGCCAGAGTAAATATTTTAGGCTTTGTGGTCTCTGTTGCAACCACTCAACCCTGCCATTGTAGCACGAAAACAGTCATAGACAGTATGTAATGAGTATCTGTGTTCTGATGGAACTTTATTTATGGACACCGAAGTCATATAATTTTCACGTCACAAAATAGTATTCTTTTGAATTTTTAAAAAAATTTTATTTATTTATTTTTGGCTGTGTTGGGTCTTCGTTTCTGTGCGAGGGCTTTCTCTAGTTGCGGCGAGCGGGGGCCACTCTTCATTGCGGTGCGCGGGCCTCTTACTGTTGCGGCCTCTTGTGTTGCGGAACACAGGCTCCAGACGCGCAGGCTCAGTAGTTGTGGCTCACGGGCCCAGTTGCTCCGTGGCATGTGGGATCTTCCCAGACCAGGGCTCGAACCCATGTCCCCTGCATTGGCAGGCAGATTCTCAACCACTGCGCCACCAGGGAAGCCCTGAATTGTTTATTTATTTACTTATTTATTGAGCATTTGGAAATGTAAAAACGATTCTTATTAGTTCATGGGCTATACAAATACAGATTCTTTGTTCATAGGCCTGAGTTTGCCCTGGGACTGGTAAAAACACAAAATTATAATAGTCAGTCAGTATGGCCTGGGTGGCTACTTGATACTGGTTCTCACAGTGGCTGTTGAGGGACACAGCTCTTCAGCCCTTCTTACCTGCATTGCAGGTTCAGCAGTTGATTTTGCCAGTACCCCTTTGGGTGATCCTGCCATAAGGAAGTAGGTTTCTCTAATTGCACACACACAAGACTGATTTATAAGTATCAATTATAATTTATTTGTCTTAACTGGAAGCTATATCTACAGTGAACCCTGGAATCCTTGTGTCCATGGATAAGCACGTTTATAATATGCCCTAATTATTTATTTATTTATTTATTTTTGGCTGCGTTGGGACTTCGTTGCTGCATGTGGGCTTTCTCTCGTTGCAGTGAGCGGGGGCCACTCTTCATTGCGGTATGCAGGCTTCTCACTGCGGTGGCCTCTCGTTGTGGTGCACGGGCTCCAGGCTTGTGGGCCTCAGCAGTTGTGGCACACGGGCTCAGTAATAGTGGCTTGCGGGCTCTAGAGTGCAGGCTCAGTAGTTGTGACTCATGGGCCTAGTTGCTCTGCAGCATGTGGGATCTTCCCTGACCAGGGATCAAACCTGTGTCCCCTGCATTGGCAGGCAGACTCCTATCCACTGCGCCACCACGGAAGTCCCCCTAATTTTTTACATGCTTTGTCTCATTTAATCTTCACAAAACACATGTGGGAGATGAGTAACACCTTCCTGTTAGAAACACTGTTTCTTTAGCTCTGAATATTAAGCTTTCCTGCCTTTCTGAGCACTCGTCTCCCCTACCTTAAATGTTAGTTCTCCAAGCTCCTGAGAGTTTTCTTTTTGCATTTTCTGAGTGAGCCTTTGATCTCCTCAATGTCCCAGGCCTCAGCTGTCCCCTGAAAAATGCTAACTCAGAAATCTTTATATCCAGCACAGATAGTTCTTTTGATCATTAGAACTACTTAAATGCCTGCCTACTGGATAACTTCCAGGGGTCTCAAACTCAGCATGTCCAAAGTTCAGCTAATCAGTTCCACCTCTACACCTGGATTCCCTCCCTCAGTGAATGCAGCCAGTCACCCCATCCCCTCACTCAGAAACCTGTCTTCTGAATGCATGGAGTCATGTCATACATCACGTAACTTCCCCTCTGGATTTCCCCTGCGTATAATAACAGTTACATTTTATGTTTCATATACATCCCTCCCACACCACCTCTGCTGCCTGTGACACATCAAGCCTTATTATTTTTGTAGTCTGAATCCTTGCAAGAGACTGCTAAGTGGTCTCCCTCCCTCTAGTTTCATTTCCTTCTATCCATTCTCTATACTGCTTCCTCATTGTTGACTAAAACTGTCAAGGCCCAATGTGATCTGAATCCTACTTCCACTTCAGCTCTATCGCGTCTTGCCTCCCTCATCCTCCCCTCTGTTCCTGCTTACTGTTGGGAGATGAATTGGATGCTTTCATGTGTCTCTGTATATATTGTTCCTTGTCTGTGGAATGCCCTTCTCTGGTCTGCTTGTTAGTTTACAAGCCTGTCTCCCCAACTAAAATAGGAGTTTCTAGGTACAGGGGTCTTGTCTATCCCTTTCTGTAGAGGCAATATATCAGTAGTTAAGAGCTTGTGCTCTTGCTCTACACTGTCTGGGTTTAGTCTTAGTTCTGCTGCCTCGCTAGCAGTAAGATAAGATCTGGGCGGGTTACTTCACTTTTTTAGCCCGAGTTTCTGCATCTGTGAAGTTATGATGATAACAGAACCATCTACCTCAGAGGTAGTGAGGATTTACTTACTATTATTAGTGCCTACTTTGTGAAGGTGTCACTCTAGGTGATGGGGATTTAGAGGTGAACTTTGCTTACATTCTAGCAGGAGCAGAATGACTAACTCATCATGGAAAAATAGTAGTTTCAGACAGCAAATGAATAAGTGCTCCAAAGATGGGTAGTAGCGTAGACTGCCTAGGAGGAGGAGGATCTGCTTTAACTACAGTGGTTAGGGAAGACCTCTCCAAGGAAATGACATATGAGTGGAGACATGTATGATGAGGGATAGCACACAAAGATCTTAAGGGAGTGTTCAGGCAGAGAGAGACTAGCAGGTAAAGGCCATGAGATGGGAACAAACTGGAGTGTTTGGGCGATGGGTTATGTGAGGCCTTGTAAGCAGTGGTAAGTTAGGAGTTTGGATTTGGATTTTATTCTAATTCTGATGAGAAGTCATGGAAAGATTTTAAGCAGGAAGTGATGTGACCTCACTTAGGTCATAAGGTCACTGGCTGCTGTGTGGAGATCGGACCACATTTCCAGCTCATAGCAGGTACCTGAGGGTTGTTGAACGCATGAATTTACTGAATTTTTTGATGTTCATCATTATACTAAAACAACTCTCTCTTTTTGTGTCCTGTCTCTTTTTGTGTACTTTTAGAGCATTGAATGGCCTCTGAAATTCCCTCGGGAATTTGTTAGGATGGGCCTGACAGAGCCAAAGGGAGTTCTCCTGTATGGTCCCCCTGGGTGTGCTAAAACCACCCTGGTGAGGGCCCTGGCCACGAGCTGTCATTGCTCTTTTGTTTCAGTGAGCGGAGCTGATCTCTTTTCACCTTTTGTTGGAGATTCAGAAAAAATCTTGTCTCAGGTTTGTTTTTTTATTTTCCCTCATGCAGTTAAGTTTACTTTTGAATTTTCGTTTCATGCCTTAAGGATAAACCTTATTTTTTTAAATATAACTGGCTTTTTTTCCTATTAGGAAAGTTATACCTGATTGTGTATAGAAAATATAGAAAAGTGTAAATAAGAAATCCTCCATAATTCCTCTACCTACTGTTAACATTTTGGTGAATTTCCTTTGCTTTTCAGTTTCCTTGGGCAGGGACTGGGTGGATGGTAATATATATCTGTGATTTTTTAACTTAATATTATCACTTTTAAAATTCAATAATATTAAATATTCTTTGAAAATATGATTTTAACCCCCATATAATACTGTTATTCCTTATTTATTCATTCCCTGGTTCTTAGACATTTAGAATCTTTCCCTTCTTTTTATATTTTAAAATTATAAATACAGAGTAATGCAGAAAACATATTCATATGAATAAGGCATGATGTATAGCTTTTAAATATTTCCGTTTTTCGAACAAAAGGTATTTCGACAAGCAAGAGCAAATACTCCAGCAATTGTGTTTTTGGATGAAATTGATTCAATCTTGGGCTCTCGATCAATCAGCAGAACAGGATGTAATGTTCAAGAACGTGTTCTTTCTGTTCTCCTAAATGAATTAGATGGTGTTGGATTGAAGACTATAGAGAGAAGAGGAAGTAAATCAGATCAACATGGTAAATACAAGGAGCTGGAAAAAAACGAAGAGGTATTTATTAGCCAGAATACACCAAAAATCCAGGCCAGCATTAAGTAGAATGCATCTGCACTAGCTTTCCCTATGCTGCATTCATCTCATAGAATTATATAATTTCAGTGTGACTCTTAGGACTTTTACAGAGCTGGTAAAATAGTGATTTACCTGGGAAAGGTGAGGCAAATTTTATAATAAAGTATCTTAGATATATATGAATGTGAATTTTTTCCTAAGATTAGAAACATAACTACCTATTGCTAGTGGAGAAGGGAGTTTCTTCTTATTTTTATACCCTGAAAAACTAGTGTTCATCCCTTTCTAAAATTGTTTATGTGAAATGAAACATAACCCATGTTTGGGTTACTGATCATTGGAAATAATGATCAGTAATTGAAAATTTTCAGTTTTCTTAAGGAATGGGTTTCCTTGGTTATAACAAAGTTAAAGTGACCTTGGAAATCCTCTTCCTCTCTTCTGAGCCTTCTCCAGATAGAGTTTGGTATCCTTAAGTAATTCCTGACAGATAATTTTTTTTCTTTTATTTTTTTCTTGTTCTTACTTGTTTCCCATTTTTTAAATTGTTCCATGGAAAGAGAGTCTTAACAGCACCTTAGGAACATATGCCACTAGAATTTGATGGGATCCATCAGGTTTTCTAATCAGATCTCCTCATCATGCAGGATTTCCTTGTATAGCCTCTGACTGGTGTTTACCCAGCCTCTGCTAAAATACTTGCAGATATAGGGAACTCATTGCTTTGAGAGATCACATCACTGGAGAACTGCTCTGATAATAAAGTTCAACAATTTTGAATGCTTAGCATGTGTAAGGCCTTGTTCTGATTGCTCTTAGATATTTCTTATCTTCAGGATTTATATAAATGCAGCTTATGTTAATTGTCATATTTCTGCCTTTGGAAAGAAAACAAAGAGGTAAAATAAATCTCCCTCTTCAAGAACATGAGAGCCAAGACTTTTCATAGCTATACATGTGTTAGTCAGGTGCTTCTGTCTTTTCAAGTCGTCCATTTAAGTTGTAATCATTCACTGGGGCTCAGGTGCATTTAGGTCAACAGATAGATGTACTCTGCTGTGGTGTAAAGCTTTTCATCAGTTCTCACACTGAGAGGTGCCCCATCAGGATTGACCACTCCCTTCACTGTGTACACAGAGTAACTCTTTGATAATAATTTGTTTCTGGGGTACCTTGATATTAAGAAGGTGGTCTGGAAAGGAAATGTAAGCATTCTAGTCCCAAGAAAAAAATATCCCCCTATTTAGAAACAAATGGACCTTCTGATTTGTAATTTTAAAAAAAATACATTTAATAATTAACAACTTATTAACATTACTTTGTGTTGTATGTTTTCCCTCAGCTAGAGTTTCAGGAAGTTTTTAATAGCAATGTCATGATTGTTGCAGCAACAAATAGACCTGATGTGTTAGATGATGCCTTGTTACGGCCTGGAAGATTAGACAAGATTATTTATATTCCACCTCCAGATGAAAAGGTAATCATTGTGCACATTTACTCTGTGTGCATTTCTAACAACACATCAGTGTCTGAGCTCTAAGAAGACGGCAGAATTGAATCCCTTACTGGGTGTAGGTGTACATGGTATGTGTCCTATATTGAATTCTGCATTTTTCCTTATCTGGGCCCGTCATAAATCATCATTTTCATCTGCTTTTGCTGGGTTCTCTGGCCCTGTTTTCAGAGAAACATAAGCCTAAAAGCAAGGTAGTAATTTCCTTTTTGTGGAAGACTCAGAATACTGAGTTTATCGAGTCTACTCAACATTATTTTGCAACTAGAATGGAGGAATCCTAAAGTGTTAAAAGGGTTTTGGAGGTTATCTGGGTCAGCATTCTTATTTTTCAGTGGAGAAATCTGAGGTTACAGAGATTATACAATGTATCCACAGCCAAAGAATCAGTAAATCCGTTGCCCTTCACATCCAGAGCCACTGGCAGTGAGTGGTGAAAGACACAGAAAATGAATTTTTTTCCTTCCTTAGGCTTTTACCAGATTTTGAAGGGATGGAAAAAAAATTATATCTATTTTATTTTTAAATTGTGTCTGATAATTTATGTATTTGCTTTTGAACCATGTCTGATGGGACTGTTTGTACCCAAAAGAGAGATTCATCAAGTCTCTTAAAGATTATATCTGTGGTTGGCTGTTTTTTAAATTAATCATAAAAATATTAAAATGTATCATGATGTCACATTTACTTTCTTCTTGAGAAGAAGTGATTCTTTCTTATTGTTTCTGAAATATATATACTTTCTCTGTAATATGATAGAAAACTCTAACTTGAAATGTTTTAATACAGCATTGTATCAGACATAAATGTTGTAAGGTTATAAACATATTATTTTTTATTTTGTTCCAGGGCAGGCTTTCTATTCTGAAAGTCTGTACAAAAAACATGCCAATGGGGCCTGATATTTCCTTAGAAAACGTAGCAGCAGATACCTGTTTTTTCTCTGGAGCTGATCTTGGAAACCTCTGCAAAGAAGTAAGTTAATTAATGGAGAAAACCTATAGTTCAAAACATTTTTTCAGAACTTCATTCACTTGGCAGTATTTACTGAAAGGGAGGCACCATGTGAGGTGAAAAAGACCACTGTGGTCCCTTACCTTCTCTTCAGAGCTTACAGGTTGATGGGGCAGTGGGGGAGGTGCAGAGAGGTAATACTGAATTAAAACATGTAGTGAGTCAGGGAAGTTCAGGGTGCTGTGGGAGTACCTAGGAAGGACACCAGTCCAGACCTGGGGGCATCAGAGAAGGCTATCTGAGAGAGGGTGTGTGTACATTGAAACTGGAAGGATGATTAGAGAGTTAGCTAGGCTAAGGGAGAGAAGCGGAGTGTTTGAGGCAGAAGGAATAAAATGTGCAGCAACTGGAGGTGAGAAATGACATTATTGAAGAGGTGGAGTGGACAGTGGCCAGATCACACAGGTTCTTGTAGGTCACTTTAAGGCATTTAGTCTTTATGTTGGCTGCCAAAAAAGGCAGCCACTGTTGGGTTTTTCCTTTCTATAAACTTGTGTTAAATATAACATTCAGAAAAATGCACAGATCAGAAGGATATGGTGCACTGAATTAACATAAAGTGAACACACTTGTATAACCACCTCTCCAGAAGCTTCCCGTGGGCCTTCCCACTCTATCCCAAAAGAGAACCACTCTCCTGACTTCCAGCACTGGGGAGATTAGTTTTGCCTGCTTTTGCACTTTATATAGATGGAACCCATACGGTATGCTTTTCTGTCTGCTTCTTTAACTCAAGATTATGTCTGTGAAGTTCATCCGTTGTTTTGTGTGTAGCAGTAGTTTGTTCATTTCCATTGCTTATAATATTCTAATATATGAATGTGCTGCATTTATATACGCATTTTATCTTTGAACATTTGTGTTACAACTTTTTTGCTATTATGAGTTATGCTGCTATGAACAATCTTGTATGCGTCTATTGGTATACGTGTGTGTGTGTGTATGTCTATTTCGTATACAAAGAGAATTGGTGGGTCATCTAGTATGTGTTGATCTGTTCCTTTATGATCAGTGCTGTTTCCTGTTTAAAAACTCCTACTCTGAGGTCAGGAATATAGTCTCTCTTTTTGTAACTTAATTTTTTTTTTTATTGGCGTATAGTTGATTTAAAAAATTTTTATTTTATACCGGAGTATAGTTGATCTCATCTTTAAAATATATGCACTCACAATGTCTATATTATTCTGCAGTCTGCTTTCCCCCCAACCCCCAACCAATTAAGGCTAGAATTTAATGTAGAAGAAAAGATGGTCTACTGAGAGGACTTTTAATCACTTTAACTTTTTAGCTTAATGTTTCTAGCATCATGAATATTGAAATTCTATGAAGTGAGACTGAGATTTTTGTGTTCAGATTTTAAAGTATTACCGTATATTATAAAATAACAATGAAGCATATTTATTATTTCCTATTGTTTGTCTCTTATAGGCCGCCTTGCTGGCTCTGCAAGAAAATGGACTGGAAGCGACCACAGTGAAACAAGAGCACTTTCTAGAATCACTTAAGACTGTAAAACCATCCTTAAGTCACAAGGATTTGACTTTATATAAAAACTTATTTCAGAAACAAGGATTTTCTAACTTAGAAGATATTTAAAAATTATTTTACATACCTGCTTAAGGATTAACTTAAATGTGAACGTGCATTATAATTTGCAGCTTCACACTTTGTGTGTGTTATTTCCTATAAATAAAAAAACTTGTGCCTAATAAGCTAAGATTTCATACTTACAGAAAAGTTAAAAGAATAATACAAAGAACTCTTATATACTCTTAACCCAGATTCTCCAATTTTTAACATTTTCCTACATTTGTCTCCTTTCTCTCTCTCCCTCCTCCCCACCACAGTATTTTTCTGAACTATTTAAAAGTAGATTTTACACATCATGCCCCTTTATCCCTTTAATACTTCAGTGTACATTTCTTATAAATGAGGTTATTTTCTTACATGACCACAGTGCAGTTATCAAATTCAAGAAATTTAACATTGATACAACATTTTAATCTATTGACAATGAATTTCATCCATTGTTCCAATAGTAATTGTTTTCCCATTACAAGATCCAGTTTAGGAGCATACACTGCACTTAGTTGTCATGTCTCTTTAGCCTCTTTGCCTTTTTTAATCTGAAACAGTTCCTCAGTCTTTCTTGACCTTGACACTTTTGAAGCGTACAGACTAAGTATTTTATAGAACAGTTGGTTCCTAATTAGTGTTTGTCTGATGTGCATCATGATAGGTTCAGGTTATGCATCACCAGTGGAGCATATGTATGTGCTGTCATGTCCTCAGATCACAGCTGGAGGCACGTGACATCTGCACATTATTGGTGATGTTAATTTTGATCACTTGTTTATGATCTTGTCCATCTTCTCCACTGTATAGCTACTAGTTTTCCTTTTGTAATTGTGAGTAGTTTTTAAGGAGATAGGTTATATATAAGTTTTTATTTTCCTTTATTAAAAGAGTAATAATGCTAGAAAATGTAGATAAACATGAAGAAAACATGTGGGTATTTAACTTTCCAGTCCCTTACACATGTGTAGATAACTTTTTAAAACCAAAAGCATGGTACTGTGTAGCTCTTGTTTTTCTCACCTAACAGTATCTGGTAAGCATCTTACTGAGCCTTTCTTCACTCTCAAGGTGCCATACAGGGTGCAGGAGTGTTCGTGAAGGAGACAGACATGGCACTGATAGGGCAGCTGGGAGCGGAGACCTCCAACAAATCATGCAGTGTGAATTAAACACAGGAGACGAGCTTCAAAGGAAGTATAGGTACAGTCAGGACATGGTGCGTGAACTATATGAAGTCATAAATGTCAAGCAGTTGGAAAGTTTTCTATATCTGACGGGAGCCAGTACTGTTATTAAGCAAAACCTCACTATTGGGGAACAATTAAGGAAAAGGCCTGTCTTATTTATAGGTATAAAATGTAATTCAGTTAAAATTATTCTAACAACCTGACTCTTGCTTTTGAGTAGTAGGGAAAATACCTAGAAACTTTTTTAGAATTCTGAATATTTTCATTCATGTTCTGTCCATTATTGATTTCACAGGAAAAGGCAGCCATTAGGCCTTTGCCATCCCTAGGCCTGAACCCCTTAACTCAGATTCTAGCTGTATGCTCCTTGTTTTTTCCTAGAGAAAGTTTCTAGTGGTCAGCCAGGAAATTTAGTACCCACACTTTGGTTAGAGGCTGAGTTTTTATTTGAAAATGTCTTTTTAAACTGTAACTTTGCAACAGAACTTTGGAAGCCTCCTGAGGACAAAAACCATGTTTCTTCTCTCATTGAAATAAATCAGTAAATGATGAAGTCAGATCAAGGATTTCTTTGACTCAACTTCAGTGTGATTAGAGGATGGCTCTGGGAAATTTCCAAAAGCTGTGTTCGTAATCGGTGAGAAAACACTTCAGCTTCTAAATATTATACCTGGGAAGTGTGAACAGCTTTACATTAAGCTCAAACTCCTTTCTGAGCCACATTACAGCATTAAACAATGTATCAATAGTACACTCCCAGACCATCTGAAATTTAGCAAATCCATATTTGCTAAACCTGGTAACTAGGCAGCCACTGAAGGGTGGGCAGAAAGAATTCCAACACAAAATATTTAATGAAAGGATATTCTATTTTTCTTATAAAGCCTGAGCTGGGCTGATTAAAATCTAAGTTTAAATTCCTAACGTGGGAACCAAGTAGCTGTGGTTCCATGCTCCTGCAAGCCCGGGTTGCAGCAGCTAGAGAAGGTTCTGGAAGTTTCTGGCAATTGGGGTGGGGAGGAGAAGCTCCCCCAAGGGATTTCGGGCTTTGGAGCAGCCACAGAGGGTAATGCTGGTGAGTATCCTGAGTGGGTTCCTTTGGGGCACTGCCAAGATTTGAAGGGTGAGAACTGTGCCTGCTAGTTAGTCATTCTGGGAAAGACTAAACACAAGCTCAGTAAACCTGGGCATTAACCGAAAGAGGGAAAGTATGGCTTTCAGGGTCTAGTTCTCATTGTGAGCTTTAGAACAGCCAGTCTAAAATTTCCTGATCAACAGTAGCGAGGTAATCTGCATGATAAAGACCCCTCTGGTTCCTTCCCACCCACCCCCTCCTCCCACCCCATTCTGGCCCCCAAAAGAAGACAGTCTGGCTTGAAACGAGCATTTTCTTTTGCTACTACTTCTTGCCCCACCCTCCTGCCTTTATAAAAGCTTTCTGTTTGTACTACCCCTTGGAGCACCCTGCTAGTTCATGAATCATTGAATGAAGCCAATTAGATCTTCAAATTGACTCAGTTGAATTCTGTTTTTTAACGCCATATACAATTTATAAATTTTTTAAACATTTTATTCTGAACATTTTCACACACATTTAATAATATAACAAACTCCCACATATCTGTCACCTAGATTGAATAATTAGTATTTTGCTAAATTTGCTTCATTTTCTACTGAAAAACTGAAGTATTTTCAGGTAAATCCCAAACATAATGATATTTCTTAATTATTTCCACATATAATCTCTTTAAAAATGTGTTTTTTAAAAAAAAAAAACAACCATAATACCATTATCACACCTGAAAAAATCAACAGTACTCCCTTTAATATCATTTCATATCTGGTCTGTAAGTTTCTCTAGTTGCCCCCAAAATGTCTTTACAGTTGGTTTGTCTATTTCTATGTTCAAATAAATATCCTCACCTTTGGTAAGATTTCTCAGAGCCCATTAGTCAGAATTAATTATCGGTCTTTGGCACCAGATCATGACAGAGCGTGTTAGAGTTACTTACAGGCGCTAAATTGTAAGAAACGTGAAGTAAGGGACTTGTGTTTTATTCTTTTAAATTTACCATGCCCCATTCCGAGAATAATGCCTAGGCTATTACAAAACTGCATTTTGAAAAGAAATGACATTGGCAAAGCAGGGCTCTAAGTTTAAGGTCATTACTAGGCATGGGCTACACGCCCCCCGCCCCAGGGCGCGCCACGTGGCTTGCAGGATCTTACTTGCCCCACCAGGGATGGAACCCGGGCCCCCAGCAGTGGAATCATGGAGCCCTAACTACTGGACCGCCAGGGAATTCCCAAGGGCTACACATTTTAATTTTAATTTGTGGGCCATGATACATTCCTATAAGATTTCCTTTTTCTCCTGCTTGTATCCTAGAAAAAACAATTTATCTTTAATTAGCAAATTGAGGCTTTTCTTAGAACCTTCTGACAAAAGAAGCTTTAGAGATTCTGCAGAAGGAGCATTAAAAGGCTTCTTTGATTCTATTCAATACAAACCACGGAAAATGTTGAATTTTCTCTGAAGTAGTCAACAAACGTCTCCAGCTACAGCTCGAGTTACACAGTAAGAACCCTTGTCAGTGACTGGGTGAGAAGTTATATTTATGATCTCCCTTATATAAAACAAATCTTTGCAAAAAATAATTACTATTTATTGAATGCCTACTACAGGCAAGGCAGACTGCTACATGCTTTGCATACATTCTAACATTTTTTCCAACTCCCTGCCGAGCCAGGTTTGTCCCCATTTTACAGATATATAAACTGAGAGTCATGAAGGTTAAGTAGTTTCCTCGAAGTCAATCAGCTAATAAAGTATGTCAGGGGTGGGCTCTGAACTCACGTCAGTTTGAATGCAAAGCCCATGACTAGAAATAAAATGGGGCTGAAACAGAGCTGGGTCTGGCCGTTTAGAAAACATTAAGATGTTTTCGTTTTTATGCTAACTCATAGCTTGAACTTCAAACAGTTTTAAAATAATTGTTTTAAAAATAACTATTTTTAGATAACTGAGCTTGCACTCTTGACTTAATCGCAGTTGCTAAGAGCAGGGTGCAGAAAGAACAGTGCTGCCTGACTGCCGGCCAGACCGGGCTTCTGATTCCATCTCCGCCGCTTACTGGCTATGTGCCTAGAGCATCTCTGAGCCTAAATAACATACCTTGCAAAAATGTCGAGAAGATTCCAGTACAGTGCCTGACACACAGATACTGATTTAATTATTATTCCCGTGGTTCTGCAGCCGCCTTCATGCTCCGTGAAAGGCTAGGCTGCTAGCTTAGGGGCGAGTTCCTTCAGGGTCGTCTCAGAGATATTCTCCTGGAAACCTCTCCGGTTGATTCTTTTTGTTTCTTCTCCCTAATCTCCTGATTTTTTTTTTTTAATGGAAAAAATCAGGACAACAAGGAATTATTCTGAAAGGAAATTTACAACTTAAATTATCTCCATAAGTGCGCCACATCACATTTTTGGAGCTTTTAAAGTGACTTGGATTAATTCTAGTTTACCTGCCTGCACCAAGGAGCCTCCCATGGGATCCCCGGATCTGCGGCTCCTTTTCCGGACCTCCTTTTAGACGGGCTGTTTTTCACCTGTTCTTGGCCATCCAAGCGCCCCTAGTTCTCAGTTCCACCCCCTTGCAGACCCGCCAGCGCCCAGCCTGGGCTCGCTCCGAGCGGCGGGTAAAAACCGCGGCAGGCGGCAGGGAGCGCTAGCGTCCTGCTGCGCGGAAATTGAAGGCCCGGCGTCCCGCAGGGGGCGCGCCCGGTTGCCGGGCGCCCGGCATGGAAAGCGAGTCAAGCCCCGCACGCCCCCTGCGCGGCCCGCGTGACCAGAACGCGCCGGCCGGCCTTCCGGAGAGGGTGGGGTTGGTATATAATGCGCGGAGGTCGAGGTCGGCGTTCGGTTCTGGGCGTTAGCATCGTCCGCTCACGGCGCCCCGCCAGGTCTCCCAGGTGAGCTGCCCTCGGGCGGAGGCTCTGGTGAGCCGTCTCGAGGCTGGCTTTGGGATACGTTGGCGGGTTTGGAGCCCAACAGGCTTCGTCCTAGTAGCTGAGTTTTGATCAGTATCTTGGATTTTTTTTTCTTCTAGATTTGGCATTCTACACTGAAGTCATCATGAGCTTTTTCCAACTCATGATGAAAAGAAAGGAAGTAAGGTTTTATTTATTTGTTTATTTATGGCTGCTTTGGGTCTTAGTTACTGCGGGTGGGCTTTCTCTAGTTGCGGTGAGCGGGGGCTACTCTTCGTTGCGGTGCACGGGCTTCTCAGTGCGGTGGCTTTTCTTGCGGAGCATGGGCTCTAGGCGCGCGGGCTTTAGTAGCTGTGGCGCAGGGGCGTAGTTGCTCTGCGGCATGTGGGATCTTCCGGACCAGGGCTTGAACCCGTGTCCCCTGTATTGGCAGGCGGACTCTTAACCACTGCGCCACCAGGGAAGTCCAAAAGAAGAAAGTAAATTTTTAAAGCAACTGAAAATCTGACTAAAAATATTAACTTATAAAGATGTTGAAGAAAGTATAAAATGATATAGAGCTATTCTGTTATATTTCAAGTGTTTCACATTGAAACGTCCGAGTATTTTGTTCTCTGTTAGCTTATTCCTTTGGTGCTTTTCACGACCGTGGCAGCGACTGGAGCTTTGTCTTTTGCTCTGTATTCCCTCCGAAAAACCGATGTGATGTAAGTAGGCATTCATCATTTATAAAAACGTTTTTAGCCGTGTTAGGTTGACCTTCAGTTTATGAAATGCATAGTATCAGTTTCCTGATTTTCCCCCCAGGATAAGAATGTCGAATTGTGAACTTGGTTAGAGCCAGGGCCAGAAAGCATCCAGGTATCAGAAGACTATCAAATGACGATTAGTGATAAAATAAGTTTACTAATATAAGTTCCTTGTATCTAAATACCCTTTCATCCACTGGCCCTCCTCCTCTTCTGCTGCAGCAAAATAAAGCTTGTTGGTTTTTTTTTTTTAACTTAAGTTTTTAAATTTAAAGTTCTTAGACGGTCTTTTGGGATATACATCATCAATCTTAATCATTTTAATAACATTTTAAAATGTCAATTCATTAGAAAGGTCTTTCCTAATGTGGTAGAGTTTATAGATTCAGCTGTCTACAATGAATCTAATCTTAGCCCTGGATATAAGGTAAAATACCATGTATCCTGGAATATGAGGAAGAGAAAAACCTGACTCTGATATTGACCGGGTGCAGGGCTCCGTAGAGCCGTAATGCTAGGCTGTGGCAGTTCATCACCTACCGGTTTCAAGCCCAGCCCTTCTGCCTCTTCCAGAAACTGGGGTAAGAGCATATTTGCTTGCTCTTAGCCTGGCACTTCCACCCTAATTGCTCTTCAGCTTATGAGAACATTCTCCAGTCTAGGCCAGTAAAGGGAATACAGACCTCCTACTCTGCAGAGGAATTGATCCTTGATGTTTGAGCCAAACTGTGAAGCTTTTTAAAGGAATGTTCCATCAATTTCAATTAACTCAATGCCTAAGTATGCACTCTGAGTCTGTCCCTAGCATATTT